ACCTCAAACTCTTGGGGTTTAAGCGATTGTCTTGCCTCAGCCTCCCCAGTAGCTGGGACTACTTCATCTGCGGCAAAGGGGCTTCCCTGGGCTGGTACTGGAATTGAGTCATCGCCACTCCCGAAAGAGACGCAGAGGTGTCTTGACGGTGAAGGCTGATCCCTCCAGAACCGGGGACTTGTGTCTTCCCTAGTGGCTTTGGGAGACCTGGCAAGACTCCAGCCATCTAAAAAAAACGTCTTTCACTAATGTTGGAAGGAGAGAATCTCCTGACCGCCTCCGAACATGTCCCCAGGAGGAAGCAAGAGACTGTCTGTGATGTTTGCGGCCACCGTTGTTCTGACGTGGAACTTTCTTGCAGTCATAATGTTTTACCGTCCTAAGTCCCTTGGATCCCAGGGATCTCACCTCCGCCGGGACGCACGTACGGGTGGTGGCGTCGGATCCGGTAGCCAGTCACCGTGATCCCCGTCCCTCAGTTTATCTTTGTCTAATACTTCTTTGGCTGCTCTCCTCAGGCTGCCTCTAGAAGTCAGCTCAGCCTATTTACTTCTGATGTAAAGACTTCCTTTTTACCTTTTCTTAAATTATGGTCGGTCGCAGGTCACGCTCGACTCTCCCTCCGGTCCAGACTCATCTCGCGGGGTGTCTCCAGGAGATCCAGCGACCGCTCCTCTCTAACAGACCCTGCTTTTGCCCAGAGCTTCAACACACCTGGCTCAATTTCCGGACCACAGGACACAGTTCTGACCCCAATTACACACAGGTCCCCAAGGAGGGCATCTCCAGGGGAACAGAAAGGTCAGGCCTCTTTTTAAAGAAAGTCTTTCCTGCGTACCCCCCTTTTCCAGGAACGTAAGCGAGACCCTGTCTCAGACAGAAGTCAGACTGAGGGAGGCCCGGGGCGGTAGCAGCCGGCTCCTTACCCTTAGCCAACGGTCCCGAAGGGGAGAGCTTAGACCTTGCAACCGGCAGGGCAGGGCAGGGCAGAGGAGGGAGAGGAGCAGCCCCGGCAGCCCCACACCCCAGCCCCCAAACGCTCCCCCTGACGTTCTGCGCGGCGGAGAAAAACAAAGCCCTGCCTGTCTAAGCTGCTCATTGTGGGGTCACCGCCAGCCAGGGTCTAATCCTACCTCACGTGTACAGAGTTCTCTCCTAACGTTTACACCGCGTGCCGTTTCCACAGAAGAAGGCGATGGGGTGTGGGTGGAGGTGGACGTTTGTTATCTCTACCCAGAAACAAGGTTAAGACTCAAGTAGGATTTCACTCCCTTGTTTTTTTTGTTTTTTTTTTT